ATATATATAAATAATAATTATAAATTTTTTTTTATATATATCTATATATCTCTAAAAAAATAATTTTATATATATATAAATATATATATATATATATAATTAAAAAAATAAAAAAATATATATATATATTTTTATTTATATATAAATTTAAAAAAAATATATCTATATATATATATATATATATATATATATATATATATATATATATATATATATATATATATATATATATATATATATATATATATATATATATATATATATATATATATATATATAAATATCCCCATAATATTTTTAAGCGTTTTCCCAAGTTCTTGTGTCCATATTTTGGAATATGCCATTTCCCTGTTTCTCCGTATCATCGTTTTTTAGTCCGTGCTACATAGTTTATAAATACTATAATAAAACCTTGATAAATTAATAAATTTGTTTAAACATATTTTTTTTTCTTATCATCCCAACTTGAGGACAATGTATTAAAAAATCTATGGTTAAATTAATAGTTTGCTAAATTAATAAGATTTGGATTGTCAGATTATATTATAGAGATTTAAGATTTAGGTGGTGTTTGCAAATGATTATTTAAAAGCAGAAGTTAGTGATTGTGATTTTTGTTAGTTCTAAGTGCTTATTTCTAAAATTTGGGGGTGTTTGCAAAAATTTCGGAAAATGAACTAAAATTGAAAAAGCAGGGTTAGGGGTGATTTTTAAAAATAACTTAAATCAGATTATTTTAAGAGAAGCAAAAACAAAAGTTGATTTTGCAAACACATAAAAACAGATTATGAGCAAAAAAAACCGCATAATCACTTTCAAAAAGCATTTGCAAACACCACCTTAAGTATATATGCTTTGACTATTTAAAGATAATAGTGGAACTTAGGGATGTTCACTCGATAGGTACCGACCTAATAGAAAATTCCATACGTACCAAATACCGAACCAAAAATTATGAATTAATTATCTAATAAAATTGCAACTTAAATATTACAAAAAAGGGTAAATGACAAATAAGTCCATGACAAAGGCACTTAATTAAAAGAGGGACATTCAACTTTTTGTCTTTCAAATAAATTTAGCACATTCAAACTTATTTGCAAATAAGGATAATCCTTTTATATATACCAAAATTACCCCAAATTCATTGAAACCCAATTCAACTCCAATTTCATGATTTACACCCCAATTTAGTCCAATTTCATCAATTAACCAATTTTAACCTTAATTTCAATTTTGACCCGCCACCATCGAAGACCGCCGGTCTCCGGCGTTGACTTTTTTTTTTTTTTTTTTTTTGCCGTTGACCGCCAGGTCTCCGGCGTTGATTTTTTTTTTTTTATTTTTTATAATTTTGTTTTTTCTTAAAAAAATATGTTAATTAATATTACTGTATTCGTTGCTAAATTACTGTCTCCAGCACTTATTTAACTGTTGGAGACAGTAATTTAACTGTTAATTAACTTTTTTACTCTTAAAAAAATAATTTTAATTAATATTACTCTATTTGTTGCAAAATTACTGTCTCCAGCAGTTATTTAACTATCAAAGACAATAATTTAACTGTTAATTGACTTTTTTATTCTTAAAAAAATTATTTTTAATTAATATTACTGTATTCGTTGCTAAATTAGTGTCTCCAGCAGTTATTTAACTGTCGGAGACAGTAATTTAACTGTTAATTGACTTTTTTTTTTCTTTTTTTAATTTTTTTTCTTAAAAAAAATTATTTTAATTAATATTACTGCCTTGGCTGCTAAATTACTGTCTCCAACAGTAATTTAACTGTCTTAGACAATAATATTAATAATATTACTGTTCGGGAAAATAATATTCATAATATTACTGTCCCAAACAGTAATATTATTGTCTGAGACAGTAACTTAGTAGCCAAGACAGTAATATTAATTAAAATATTTTTTTTCTAAGAAAAAAAATTAAAAAAAAAAAGTCAAAGCCGGAGACCGGTTGACCGGCCGGAAAAAAAAATCAGGAAAAAAAAAGTTCTCAAAAAAAAAAAAAAGTCAACACCGGAATCTGGCCGGAAAAAAAACATTTCAGAAAAAAAATATTATTTTCTGAAAACAAAAATTTTTTGGGGGTTAATGTGATACATTTGTTTAAATCTGGGGTCAATGTGTAATATTAAGGAAGTTATAGCATAACGGGTGGAATTGATAAGAAGTATATTATGGAGGGTATTATAGACTAAAGACATGGAGAAAAGTTTAATTGAGAGACTGTTTTTTTTTGTGGACCAAAGTGCATTTAAGTCCCATGTGATGGGCTTTTTTGCTATTTGCTCTAAAAAAAAGAAAAAAAAAAAAGAAAGAAAAGAACTGTCGACGTGTCATCCCCTCCGAACTTTCGGATGATTGGGCCGCGTGCAACGGCCACTAACACGCACGTGCGATACACCACCTCGTGCCATCATCTCCGCATATATTTATTTCGTTTCTTTTCTTTAATTAATTAATAAATATGCTTTAAAGCACAGACGATATTTTGTCTTGCTTTTCTTTGGCCGTATAAATTTCAATCGGAAGAAAAAAGAGGAGAAGTGTGCATTAATCCAACTTAAAAATGAATTCTTCGTTGCTAAGCTTCCTCTCTCTCTTTCTTCTACTTGTGCTCTCGCCGATCTCCTCCGTCGTCGCGCTGCTCCGCGCGCCGCCGCATCTGTCGCCGGTTTCCGCCGAGAAGCTGATTCGAGATCTCAACTTGTTCCCGAACAAGCCGTTCAACATCATCGCCGATGATCTTCAGTCTGCCGACGCTCCGTCGATCGTCGAGAGGCGATTTAAGTTCCCCGATTTGGTCGATCCTAGCGGAGTTTCAGCTGAAGAACTAGGTCATCATGCCGGTTATTATCAGATTCAGCATTCTCACAGCGCCAAGTAAATTCCGTGAAACATGCGCCCTAATTTTCATTTTTGTTTTAATAATCGTTGCTTTAATTTTTTTATTTGTGTTGAGTGGTTGGTATTTATATATTTATTTCAGTATTTTGATTGATAATTATCGGATTTTGATGTTTGTTTACCTTGTCTATCGTTTCATTATCTGGTAAATTATGTGTTTGTGCATTTGCCAAAACTGATGTTATGTTGGAATTTTGGGTTTTTCTGAAATGGATAGAGCTATTCTTGAAGGGTATGTATATCATGTCTATGAATAAATCATCTCGGTTTCAAAGTGGCACAGAGTAATTTTCAGTCCTTCAGATAGTATGGGTTACTCGTTAGATGGCCTTTCTTGTTGATTGATTTGATGATACAAAATCTTACAAATCAAATGCACAAATTTTGATGAGATAATGAATTCTTAACACACTTAAAACCATTTCAAAAGACAACAAAGTTCAATACTCGTTTTTATGCAATGCAGCTTGTTCTTTTTCAACGGAATCGAATATCCGATTGCCTTACACTGGCTGAAACTGAAATAAAGCATACATGTGATGATATCTCTGAACAATGTCCACAATAGTAAATTTGTGGACCTCATGACTGATGGTAATTGGGGGTTTTAGGTAGTATGTATAACCTTTATAGAGTATGCTCTCGTTACTTTATAAACAACTAACTATCTGGTGATTGCATTGAGGCTGAACCGATGCTCGTGATTGCAGGATGTTCTACTTTTTCTTTGAATCACGCAATAGCACCACAGACCCTGTTGTGATATGGTTGACTGGTGGGCCAGGTTGTAGCAGTGAGATGGCTCTTTTCTATGAAAATGGGCCTTTCACTATTGCCAATAATTTATCACTTGTGTGGAATCAGTATGGCTGGGACCAGGTAATTTATTCTGATAAAAGTTTGCTGTCCACTCGTGCAACTTTATTCTCAAAATACAGGCATTACTTTCTTTTCAAGTTCTTCTCTCGAAACATCTTTCCCCAAAATAAAATGGAACTATGGTCTCGAAAGAGAATCAAATAGAGCCTTATAGTTTGTGTACTATAT